AAAATATGAATAGCCCCTGGCAGAATGTTCTGGAATGAGACTTGGCACAGACAAGGAGGGTTGGCCAAGATGCAGTTCCAAAACAAAAATAAAAAACACGTGGTTTACGTAAGGCGAGAAAAACACAGCAAGCTGTGTAAGGAGTCTGGTGTAAAGTTACTATATCAAAGTCAAAATTAATACAAAGTATTCATAAATATGTATATCAACCACTTGAAAAGACAAAAGAAAACTCTTCAGGTCTCCAACCAGCTCTGTGAGTTACAGGTCATAGACACAGAATCACCAGCTGACAAAGTCAATGATAAGGGTCAACAAAGCCGAATACCAATATCCCACCTTGTGTGTAACAATGTCATCCAATCATCTCCTACCTGATGTAGGTGGATCCACCATTAACTATCCTATTAAACACCAGTACCTGACCAGATGACCACAAAACCAATAAGTCAGGTGGTCCCATCCAGATATCTATGTCCCCATCAGTCCTCTCTCACAATTATTACCTGGCAGAATTTGGTCTCATTTACAAGTGTCTATATCTTTTGGTCAGTGCACTTTCCCACAGGTAACTAGCCATCTTTTATATCTCTTCCTCAGACAACCATCCTTGCAAAAAAAAAGGGTTTTCCCATACGTAACTATGACCACCTAGTGAGCAACTACTCCATAGATTAGAAAACCCAACAAGTGGGTGTTTTCGTCAGCAAGTATGTCCCCAAGAGAGCGGTCAACCCAACAGGTAGATCCTGATCTCCACCACAGGTAACAATCTCCCTATTTAGACATCTCCTGACAGGTAACTCTCCCTCCAATAAGATGTCTCTCCCACAGGTAACTCTTACTGTCTACAGCACAATTGCTTCCACAGCTTATAAAAACCCAAGTGTGTGATTTCTTCAACAAGTATGTCCCCCAAGAGAGTGGTCAATCCAACAGGTAGATACATCTCGTGATCTCCACCACAGGTAACAATCTCCCCAATTAGACATCTCCCGACAGGTAACTCTCCATCCAATAAGATGTCTCTCCCACAGGTAACTCTTACTGCCTACTGCACAATTGCTTCCACAGATTATAAAAACACAAGTGTGTGATTTCTTCAACAAGTATGTGCCCCAAAAGAGTGGTCAACCCAACAGATAGATACATGTCCTGGTCTTCACCACAGATAACTATTTCCCCAATTACACATCTTTCCCACAGGTAACTATACCCCTAATAAGATGTCTTTCCTACTATAACTATCCCCCAAATAAGATGTCTTTCCCACAGGTAACAATGACTGCCTACTGAGCAATTGCATCCATAGGTTATTAAATTCAAGCGTATGATTTCTTCAGCAAATATGTCCCCCTGGAGAGTGGTCGACCAACCCCACGTAGTTATATCTTCTAGTCTCCACTGCAGGTAAGATCTCTTCCCCACTGGTAACTATCTTCTCCAATAAGATGTCTCTCCCACAGGCAATGCTGACCTCCTACTGAGCAATTGCTCCCATAGGTTAAACAAAAACGAGTGATTATTCAACATGTCCGCCAAGAAAGTGGTCAACCCTACAGGTAGATACATCCTCTGGTTCACACCACGGGTAACTATTCCCCTCCTAGTGAGGGCCCTTCCCACAGGTAACTATACATCCCTAAAGAACACTTTCTCCTATATGGCAGAAAACCCTACAAGTGGGTGAATTCTCCACAAGTATGTCCTATTAGTGAGTGGTCAACCCCACAGATAGATAAATCTGGTCACCTCCATAAGTAATTATACTTCCTATTGTCAACTGCAGGTCCCACTGAGTGGTCAACCCCACATATAAATACATCATTTGGTCGCCTTCACAGGTAATTATCCATCCAATAAGACATTTCTCCCTATGGTAACTATGACCTTCTAGTGAGCAATCTCTCCCAAAGGACCTTACCCCTCCCCCTGATCAAAAATGGAGAGCACTCACCCTAGCAAGTAGCCTCTGCCACAGAGGACAAACTCTTCTCCCTGCAGCCAATTCTGCAATGACCAGACCCCCTCCCTCTATTGAGCGGTGAAGACCTGTGATCATGGTAAGTAGCCTCTCCCTGAAAAAGACAAGAACCCGCCTCCTGGCTTGCATGCCCTCCCACAAGGACCAGACTTCTACTCCTGGTCAGTAGTGAAGACCTGTCACTAAGTAGGCCCTCCCACAGGGTATATTATCAGTCCCTCCCACAAGAACTAGACCCCTCTCAATGGCTTTATTGCCCTCCCACAAGAACCAGACTTCTCTTTAGTCAACAGTGAAATCCTGTCACCCTGGCAAGTAGACTCTCACACAGAGGACAAGACTCTCCCCCTTGGTCTGCAGTACCTACCACAAAGGCTGGACACCACCCAATGGCTTGTATGCCCTCCCATGAGGACCAGACCTCTCTTGAGTCTAGGTTCACACCTAAGCATTTTTCGCAGTGGTTTGCATAAACGCACAGCAGTCCATTTAACGTGATTCCCTATGGGACAGGTTCACATCTCCGCATTTTCAACCGGAGTGTTTTTTGGAAAGGGTCTGGGACTTTTTTTTAATGCATGGAAATGCTGCAGAAAAGCATGTATTGCATTTTTGATGCGTTATAATCTGCCCAGCAACAAGTTTAAAAAAAAAAACATGCATCAAAAACGCAGCAAAAATGCATGTGCAAAATGCACTGCAGAAACGGATCAAATGCAAACTGCATACAGGTGAAACTCAAAAAATTAGAATATTGTGCAAAAGTTCATTTATTTCAGTAATGCAAGTTAAAAGTTGAAACTAATATATGAGATAGACTCATTACATGCAAAGCAAGATAGTTCAAGCCGTGATTTGTCATAATTGTGATGATTATGGCTTACAGCTCATGAAAACCCCAAATCCACAATCTCAGAAAATGAGATTACATGCAATCAATAAAACAAGGATTGTACATAGAACAATATCGGACCTCTGAAAAGTAGAAGCATGCATATGTACTCAGTACTTGGTTTGGGCCCCTTTTGCAGCAATTACTGCCTCAATGTGGCGTGGCATGGAAGTTGTCAGCCTGTGGCACTGCTGAGGTGTTATGGAAGACCAGGATGCTTCAATAGCGGCCTTCAGCTCTTCTGCATTGTTCGGTCTCATGTCTCTCATCTTTCTCTTGGCAAAGCCCCATAGATTCCCTATGGGGTTCAGGTCAGGCGAGTTTGCTGGCCAATCAAGCACAGTAATCCCACGGTCATTGAACCAGGTTTTGGTGCTTTTGGCAGTGTGGGCAGGTACCAAGTCCTGCTGGAAAATGAAGTCAGCATCCCCATAAGGAAGGAACCATGAAGTGCTCCAAAATCTCCTGGTAGACGGCTGCATTGACCCTGGACTTAATGAAGCACAGTGGACCAACACCAGCAGATGACATGGCTCCCCAAATCAACACAGACTGTGGAAACTTCACACTGGACTTCAAGCATCTTGCAGTGTGTGCCTCTCCATTCATCCTCCATACTCTGGGTCCTTGGGCCTCTCCATTCTTCCTCCATACTCGGGGTCCTTGGTTTCCAAATGAGACGCAAAAGTTGCTCTCAACAGAAAAGAGGACTTTGGACTACTGAGCAACAGACCAGGTCTGTTTTTCTTTAGCCCAGGTAAGACGCTTCTGACGTTGTTTGTTGTTCAGGAATGGCTTGACAAGAGGAATACGACATTTGAAGCCCATGTCCAGGATCCGTCTGTGTGTGGTGGCTCTTGATGCACTGACTCCAGCCTCAGTCCACTCCTTGTGAAAGTCCCCAACACTTTTGAATGGCCTTTTCCTGACAATCCTCTCCAGGCTGCGGTCATCCCTGCTGCTTGAGCAGCTTTTTCTTCCACACTTTTCCCTTCCACATAACTTTCTATTAATGTGCTTTGATACAGCACTTTGGGAACATCCAACTTCTTTTGCAATTACCTTTTGAGGCTTTCCCTCCTTATGGAGGGTGTCAATGATGGTTTTCTGCACAACTGTCAGGTCAGCAGTCTTTCCCATGATTGGGATTCCTACTGAACCAGACTGAGAGACCATTGAAAGGCTCAGGAACCCTTTGCAGGTGTTATGGCTTAATTAGCTGATTAGAGTGGGACACTTTGAGCCGAGAATACTCCACCTTTTCACAATATTCTCATTTTCTGAGATTGTGGATTTGGGGGTTTTCATGAGCTGTAAGCCATAATCACCACAATGATGACAAATCACAGCTTGAACTATCTTGCTTTGCATGTAATGAGTCTATCTCATATATTAGTTTCACCTTTTAAGTTGCTGCACTGAAATAAATGAACTTTTGCACGATATTCTAATTTTTCGAGTTCCACCTGTATATATATATATATGTGTATATACGGTATATATAAGTATGTGTGAACCTAGCCTTAGTACTGAAAACCTGACACCCTGCATTACAGCCCCACCTACAGAACAAGACCCCTCCCCCTGGGCAGCAACCACTCCCACTGGAACAAGCCCCCAACCCTGGTCACACATCCTCCAATAAGTGGTCCCTGTTAGCCCCCATCTCCTCCTACAAAGACCAGACTCATCCCATAGTCACAAATCCTCAAATGAGGGGACCACACTAGCCTCTATTTCCTCCCACAAGGACCTGACTCCTCCCATGGTCACAAATGCTCCAATTAGGGGACCACATTAGCCTCTATTTCCTCCCACAAGGACCTGACTCCTCCCATGGTCAGTAGTAGTGAAGACAAGTCACCCTAGCAAGTAGCCTTTCCCCACAGACAAGACTCCTCCTATTAGGATCCAAGCCCCTCCTCTTAGCAGCCACGCCTACAGGGACAAGGCTCCTCCCCCGATCACATAACTCTAATGAGAGGGTCCATGTTATTCACTATCTCCTCCCACAAGCTATGACCTCAGTGCTCCCAATCATTTACCAATGACCCCGCCCACCTCGTTCTTTCCGCTCCAATGACTGATCACCCTCCCAAGTGTCCCTCACCCCCGCCCTCTCACCTCCACCGGTTCACCCCCCCGGAGGATGAGGAGGAGGCGGCGAACCAGGGGTCCAGGATGTAGACGCAACGCACACAGCGGGCCCCCCAAGAGCGGCCAGCAGAGCCGGGTTGTCGTGCAGCCGGAGCCCCTTCCGGAACCAGTGCACGGAGCTGACGGCGGGGCCCTCCATCCTCCTCTCCGAGGCGCGGGACCGAGCGCTTCGTTCGCTATCCGCGCTGTGCCTTCTTCCCCGCTCCGGAATGTGTCCGGGCTGTGCCTTCTCCTTCCGCGCTCCGGGATGTGTCCTCTCCGGGCTGTGCCTTCTCCTTCCCCGCTCCGGGATGTGTCCTCTCCGGGCTGTGCCTTCTCCTTCCCCGCTCCGGGATCTGTCAGCTCCGCTGTCACTGCTGACGGCTCAGCTTCCCCTGTGTGTGTCTGCAGCTCAAACACGAGACTGGCCGAGCCCCGGCAACGCCCACCGCCAGCCCCGCGCTCTCATTGGCGGCTGCCCCATGGAGGGGGCGTGTACGGTGACAGTCACATGCCAGCCATGTGTGAGATGGCACGGAAAGAGGACGACTGGAGGAGGCGGAGATCTCCGGCCTCTGTGTGTAATACAGTGTCCGCCTCTGTCACCGCCACCCCGCACACCGCCTGTCATCACCGCCATCCCACATTCCGCTTGTCATCACCGCAACCCATTACGGCAACCCGCCTGTTACTGCCATCCCGCCTGTCATCACTGCCACCCCGCACTCCGCCTCTGTCACCGCCACCCCTCATTCCGCCTGTCATCACCGCAGCCCATCACGGCAACCCGCCTGTCACCTGCCACCCCGCACTCCCGCTCCTCTGTCATCACTGCAACCCCCTCCTCTGTCATCACTGCAACCCCGCACTCCGCCTGCATCACCGCAACCCCGCACTCCGTCTCATCACCGCAACCCCGCACTCCGTCTATCATCGCCTCTGTCACCGCAAGCCATCACGGCAACCCGCTTGTTACCGCCACCCCACCTGTCATCACCGCCATCCCACACCCCGCCTGTCACATCAGGTATCCCCATCAGACGTTCTTACATCAGAATACCCTTTACAAAGGATGTCCCCCTTATCAGGTGTCATCCTCCCCCCTTATACAGGTGTCATCCTCAGAGTTCCCCAATGTCAGAGTTTCACATCAGCCCCCTTACATGATATTCCTCCATCAGAGTGCCCCCTTATATCAGGTGTCATCCTCAGAGTACCCCCTTAATATCAGGTGTTCACATCAGAGTGCCCCCTTATATCAGTGATCATCCTCCTCAGGTGTTCACATCAGAGTGCCCCCTTATATCAGGTGTTCCTCCATCAGAGTGCCCCCTTATATCATGTCATCCTCAGAGTACTCCCTTATCAGAGTGCCCCCGATCAGGTATCTCCATCACAGTGCCCCTCACATAAGGTGTTTCCATCCCCTTTAGTAGTGCTCCCCATCATATGATTACATTCCTCCATCAGAGTGTCCCCATATATGAAATTCCCCCATCAGAGTGCCCCCATACATGATATTCCTCCATCAGAGTGCCCCCATACATGATATTCCTCCATCAGAGTGCCCCCATATATGATATTCATCCATCAGAGTGCCCCCATACATGATATTCCTCCATCAGAGTGCCCCCATACATGATATTTCCTCCATCAGAGTGCCCCCATATGATATTCATGATTGCCCATACATGATATTCCTCCCATCAGAGTGCCCCCATACATGATATTCCTCCATCAGAGTGCCCCCATACATGATATTCCTCCATCAGAGTGCCCCCATATATGATATTCCTCCCATCAGAGTGCCCCCATACATGATATTCCTCCATCAGAGTGCCCCCATACATGATATTCCTCCATCAGAGTGCCCCCATACATTATATTCCTCCATCAGAGTGCCCCTTACATCAGGTATTCCCTATCAGAGTACCCCCCTACATTAGGTAGCTCCAACAGAGTGCCCCCTTACATCAGGTATTCCCATCAGATGTCCACATCAGAATACCCTTTACATAAGATGCCCCCATCAGATTGCCCTCTTACATAAGGTGTCTCCATAAGAGTGCCCCCATACATAAGTTGTTCCACCAGAGTACTCCCTTAGACCAGTTGCCCCCATCACAGTACTCTTATTTAAGGTGTCCACATACAGCAGGTTCTCCCATCAGAGTGCCCCCATATACATCATCTTCTTCCATCAGAGTGCCCCCATACATCGTATTCTTCCATCGGAGTGCCCCCATACATCGTATTCTTCCATCGGAGAGCCCCCATACATCATATTCTTCCATCGGAGTGCCCCCATACATCATATTCTTCCATCGGAGTGCCCCCATACATCGTATTCTTCCATCAGAGAGCCCCCATACATTGTATTCTTCCATCGGAGAGCCCCCATACATCATATTCTTCCATCGGAGAGCCCCCATACATCATATTCTTCCATCGGAGAGCCCCCATACATCATATTCTTCCATCGGAGAGCCCCCATACATCATATTCTTCCATCGGAGTGCCCCATACATCATATTCTTCCATCGGAGTGCCCCCATACATCATATTCTTCCATCGGAGTTCCCCCATACATCATATTCTTCCATCGGAGTGCCCCCATACATCATATTCTTCCATCGGAGAGCCCCCATACATCATATTCTTCCATCGGAGTGCCCCCATACATCATATTCTTCCATCGGAGTGCCCCCATACATCATATTCTTCCATCGGAGAGCCCCCATACATCATATTCTTCCATCGGAGTGCCCCCATACATCATATTCTTCCATCGGAGTGCCCCCATACATCATATTCTTCCATCGGAGTGCCCCCATACATCACATTCTTCTATCAGAGTACATCAGGTTCCCCCATCAGAGTGCCCCCTTACATAATGTGTCCCCATCAGATGCTTCATACATCAGATTTCCTCCTCAGAGTCTCACTATAGATGTGTAGAGCTGGGCAGGCAGGGGGTGGAAGCTGGGAGGAGAAGTGTGCTGCAGGGGGCGGGGCACACACGTGACATTGGTTTCTGTGATTCCAGCAACCAATGACTGCAGCTTAGTGAGGATCCAGCGCAGCAGAATGGCAGGCTGAGGGTCTGGACTGTGCTGTCAGTCGGTCCTGATGCGGACTGTGGCCCACCATTCAGTGAAGGCTGTTCTAGAGGACTCCTAGTTTGAGAAAAGGCTGGTGTGTACAGGACAGACACAGTCCAATGTAAGATGAAGACAGAAATACACTGTAATGGGGGGGGGGGGGGGGAGCAGGAGGCAGAGGAACAGCAGTGCACAGCTCCCTCATCGTTCCCCTTTTTACTGTCTGCACAGATCATTAACCTGAGTGGGCACCTCCTGTTTGCAGGACCGCTGCAGGTCTACCTGCCAGGCCTGTACTGGCCATAGGGCTCACCGGGCATTTGCCCTGTGGGCCGGTGCCGCCCCCCCCCTCATCTCCTCTAGCACCCCCTCCTCATCTCCTCCAGTGGCCCACTCCCTCATCTCCAGCGGCCCCCTTCCTCATCTCTCCAGCGCCCCCCCCCCTCATCTCCTCCAGCACCCCCCCATCTTTCTTTCTTTCCCTCATTTCTATATGTCTTTCTTTCTTATACATCTCTCTCTCTATCTCTCTGTCTTCTGTTTCTCTCCTTTCTTTTTTTCTTTCCCTCCTTCCTTCTTTCCCTCCTTCTATAGGTCTCTCTTTCTTTATCTCTCTCTCTGTTACCTGTTTCTCTCCTTCATTCTTTCTTTCTATATGTCTCTATTTCTCTCTCTCTGTCTCCTGTTTCTCTCCTTTCTTTCTTTTCTCTCTCTCTTTCCCTCCTTCCTTCTTTCCCTCCTCCCTCTTTACAACCCTCCCTCTTTCTATACGCCTCTCTTTCTTTCTCTCTCTCTGTCTCCTGTTTTTCTTCTTTCTTTCTTTTCTTTCTCTCTTTCCCTCTTTCTATACGTCTCTTTCTTTCTCTCTGTCTCTCTCCTGCCTTTCTTTCTTACCCTCCTTCTATACGTCCTCCTTTCTTTCTTTTTCCCCTCTTTCCTTCTTTCTTTCCCTCCTTCTTTCCTTCTTTCTCTCCTTCCTTCTTTCTTCCTGTACGTCTCTTTTTTGCTCTCTGTCTCCTGTTTTTCTCCTTTCTTTCCCTTCTTTTCCTCTCTCTTTCCCTCCTCCTTCCTTCTTTCTTTTGCTCTTTTGCTCTTTTCTCGCCTACAAAAAAATTAAAAAAAATAATAAAATATAAAATTGTGAAAAATTAAATAAAAATAAAAAGCTACTGACACTAGTGGTGGAATTACCAGGGTCGCAAAGGTCGCTCTTGTGACCAGGCCCTGGCGTTCCACCACCAGGCTCCGACGAAAGGGTCCCCAGGCTTTGGGCTGCTCAGTCCATAGTGCCCGGGCCTATTTTTTGTCCCAGTCTGGGCCTGCTACCAGATGATAGTGAAGCAATGGGTTGGACATGTTATAAATCGTCTTTGGCCAACTGGCTGCCAGCCGGGCCTTCTTCTGCAGCTTGTCACCCAAACTTCAGTCAGTTGGCAGATCAACAAGCAGCTTCAATATGCCACTATGACAGTGGTCAGAAGTCCCCCCAGCTCCAGTCAGACCTCAGATCAGTTTGGCCCCTGGCTGGCAGATACAGGGAAGTCCTTCATCCTGAATGTCCCCTCCTGGATCATCAGACATGTCATAGAGCGCACCAAGGGAAGTCCAGGACAGAAGGCTTCCCTGTACCTGCCAGCCGGGAGCCACACTGACCTGAGTTCTGAATGGGGCGACATGGTAAGCACATGGTCATTATAGCATATGGACAATGCTGATTGAAGTGTGGGTGTGCTGCGTATACATCTCATTTTTATCGGCACCAATAGTTTCCTTTTATTGGCCCCATGAGCATGAATACCTATGGATGGGGCCCTAAATCTAAAACTGTATTATTAAAGCTCTGTGTGTAAATGGGGTCTTGGGGCTCATTCACATGGGCGCTGTGGCCTGTACAGTGTGAGTCAGTGGGGAGGAAAGACGCCGGCTGCTGCGAGGGGAAATGGGCACATGGGGGGGGGACCTGGACAGCGGGTGGAAGGGGGTCACACAGGGGGGCCCAGACAGCAGGTGGAAGGGGGGGCACACAAGAGAGCTTGGATTGCAGGTGGAAGGAGGGC